TATACGTAACCGGTATATTTTATCATCTCTGTGATCACTCCAGCATCTGCCATCACCGACAACGGTTATACAGTATGGTAAAAGTCATTATGTGTGGATCAAAAGTCATATGACATGAGACTGATTAATTTCCGAGATATTTTGCGATAGTTTCCGTACCCATTGAATTTTAATGAAAGTACCGTTCTTGATACTTTCAAGCATAATTATGGCCAGATGGCCAGTGGTAACACGGCAAATTGCAAGTCATTTGATTTCCCGGTGTTGGGGGTTTTTTTTTTGGTGTTTGTTTTTCTTCTTTTTTCTGTATTAAAAATACAGTACGGTCAAAAAAAGTAATGACGTCATAGTTTTAATTTCATACCACATAACACGAGGATGCAACGATTTTCCCGAAGTTTTACCATCGGCCATTACAAACTTTACAGAATTTTACAAAAATACAGCGATGATTTCTGTGCTCATTTCACGAATTCTATCTGGAAGCTGACTGGTTTTTATAGTAGATATGCATTTGCCCATACAGCAATGAGGGAAATTTTAGACTTGATTTTGTGTTTTGAGCCAGTCTATATTCGATCGTCCTATATCTTACCCGCTAAGAGGGGTAACGACTGAGGCAGTGTCACTCACTTCATTTGCTCCGCCTCTGTTGAAGTTCGGCTCCGCCTTAAAGCAACATTAAATGAAATATGTAAACATTTTTCCGTAGGCTTTAAAACCAAACATTCTATAGTTTCGTAAATATCTTTAACAGTATTGTTGTAAATAACTTTTAAAATTGTTCATAAGTAATGATTTTTAAAGGAAAACCCCACGGTAACACTAAACTTCGTATTCGAGTTTTAACATGCAAATGAAGACTTGTATAATTAGCTCGCGCATGCGCTACGTCACAATGGTAAAATCAATTGTAATCTTGTGGCACACAACAAATATGAGATATTCTTGTGCAAACTTTTACCGTTTTAGTTTCACGGTGCATAAGCCCTATTGTTAACAAAAGAGTAGTCATATCACAAAAAGTTTGAATTTGTATGAAAACATCCGTTATATAACGCGGATTTATACCGGTAAATTCGGACTTCTATACTGCTTAAGGCGGAGTTTGTACTTCCGATTTCGCCACAATGCGGTTGTAGATTTATGGCTTATAAAACTCATTTTTGTTGTCTGAACACCAACATAAGAACGGGGGTCGACATGAAACATATTTTATTAACGAGATGTAACTAATTCTTTTTTATGAAATTTATTTAATGTAACTTTAGTCCGCCTGGGCTCCTTGCCATTGGTTCTTGTTGCTGGGTCATATGGGGGTTGCGTTCATTGAACGCCGCCTTTCCTTGTTGATCTTGTTTATCATATTTTAAATTGTCGCCAAATTTAATATGATACTCCGCATGCTAGCATTTGGTCTTCGTTGACGGGGCGGAAGGGAACTAGGACAACTTTGATTAATATCAATTGTCGAATCATTATATTACAAGTTACAAAGCCTTAACCACGCCCACAATCAGAGAGGCGATTCTCCCTCAACCGTTAAGAAAGTACCCCAAAGTTACGCTACGGCCAGTAAGGGGAAATAACTGCAGAACAGTTCGACCTCAAAATCATTCGAACAGTATGCAATTCGTACCAATATTTAAATGAACATATTTTCGGCACATATTTCTTGATTTTTTTTAATATACAAATCATTTCAATTTTACTTGTTATCCAATTTATTTTGCTTCGACCAGACGTTTAAATCTTTGTAGGAACAGACAAATATTTCTGAATTTCACATACCAAGAACATGGAGAAAATGTTGATTTGTGCTTGGGATATGAGAACAATTTTCAATGCTGATTGACTCCTCACATCATTTGGCGACGTCTTTGGTGTGCAGCATCAACATTCAACTTGTATCTACTACATACATAAACCATGCATACCGTTATACTTTAAAATCCGTACAGCCGCGAATTACCGACAAAAGGTTATTCAATATTCTACTGTTGCGGGTCAATATTGCCAAGCAAAAAATGTTCATTTTAGTTTTGTTGTTATATAACTTTTAAGTATGATTACTATTCTTAATTACCCACAAAATCCAAAACAAAGTAATTCGACGCCAACACAAAAATTTTGCAATTATTTTTTTATGAATGTCAACAGTTGTCGAAAGAACTGTTATAGCAATTATAAATAATTATGTAAGTCTAAAATGTCACATTCCCACTATGGTTACAAAAGCACAAAAAGCAAATTGAGCCATTATACAAATTATCCTTTAGGTTTGTCTACATTTTTGTCTGAATCAATTCGATACGTTTTATCAAAAAATGAACATGTCCAGAAAAATAATGTACATAAAGTTAGTTCCCTATTCCTTATTCCTTTTTCGAATAAGGAATAAGGAATCAGTTCCTTATTCCTTTTTCGAATAAGGAATAGGGAACTAGTTCCTGATTCCTTATTCAAATCTAAATAAGGAACAACAGAATTAGTATTTATTTAAAATAAAATTTATACCTCATTCAAATCATTGCATAAAGAATCTGCATAAATTATTTTGAAAAAAATCGAATAAGGAATAGGGAACCAGTTCCTTATTCCTTATTCAAATCCGAATAAGGAACAGAAGAAAACAGGTAAAGAAAGACACCAGTTGCAGTTATTTTTGATAAATCTGCATTAGAATTGCAAGGATCAATCATAAAAATCATGAAATAAAGCATCTGCATAAAAATATTTTGGAAAAAAAAATGTTCAGGTTCATTCGACTCCGAATAAGGAACAGAAGTAATTACGTAAAGAAAGACAGCAGTTGCAGTTATTTTTGATAAATCTGCATAAGAATTGCAAGGATCAATCATTAAAATCATGAAATAAAGCATCTACATAATTTTTTTTTTTTTAAATGTTAAAGTCGAATAAGGAATAGGGAACCAGTTCCTTATTCCTTATTCAACTCCGAATAAGGAACAGAAGAAAATACGTAAAGAAAGACACCAGTTGCAGTTATTTTTGATAAATCTGCATTAGAATTGCAAGGATCAATCATAAAAATCATGAAATAAAGCATCTGCATAAAAATATTTTGGAAAAAAAAATGTTCAGGTTCATTCGACTCCGAATAAGGAACAGAAGTAATTACGTAAAGAAAGACAGCAGTTGCAGTTATTTTTGATAAATCTGCATAAGAATTGCAAGGATCAATCATTAAAATCATGAAATAAAGCATCTACATAATTTTTTTTTGAAAAAAATGTTAAAGTCGAATAAGGAATAGGGAACCAGTTCCTTATTCCTTATTCAACTCCGAATAAGGAACAGAAGAAAATACGTAAAGAAAGACACCAGTTGCAGTTATTTTTGATAAATCTGCATAAGAATTGCAAGGATCAATCATTAAAATCATGAAATAAAGCATTTACATAATTCTTTTTGAAAAAAATGTTAAAGTCGAATAAGGAATAGGGAACCAGTTCCTTATTCGTTATTCAACTCCGAATAAGGAACAGAAGGAAATACGTAAAGAAAGACACCAGTTGCAATTATTTTTTATAAATATGCATCAGAAATGCAAGAATCAATCATTAAAATCATGAAATAAAGCATCTACATAATTTTTTTTTGAAAAAAAAATGTTAAAGTCGAATAAAGAATAGGGAACCAGTTCTTTATTCCTTATTCAACTCCGAATAAGGAACAGAAAAAAATACGTAAAGAAAGACACCAGTTGCAGTTATTTTTGATAAATCTGCATTAGAATTATTCGACTTTAACATTTTTTTAAAAAAAAATTATGTAGATGCTTTATTTTATGATTTTAAAGATTGATTCTTGCAATTCTTATGCATATTTATCAAAAATAACTACAACTGGGGTCTTTCTTTACGTATTTCCTTCTGTTCCTTATTTGGAGTTGAATAAGGAATAAGGAACTGGTTCCCTATACCTTATTCGACTTTAAAATTTTTTAGAAAAAAAAATTATGTAGATGCTTTTTTCATGATTTTAATGATTGATCCTTGCAATTCTTATGCAGATTGATAAAAAATAACTGCAACTGCTGTCTTTCTTTACATATTTTCTCTTGTTCCTTATTCGGAGTTGAATAGGAATAAGGAACTGGTTCCCTATTCCTTATTCGACTTGAACATTTTCAAAAAATAATATGTAGATGCTTTATTTCATGATTTTTATGACTGATCCCTGCAATTCTTATGCAGATTGATCAAAAATAACTGCAACTGCTGTCTTTCTTTACGTAATTACTTCTGTTTCTTATTCGGAATCGAATGAACCTGAACATTTTTTTTCCAAAATATTTTTCATGCAGATGCTTTATTTAATGATTTTTATGATTGATCCTTGCAATTCTAATGCAGATTTATCAAAAATAACTGCAACTGGTGTCTTTCTTTACCTGTTTTCTTCTGTTCCTTATTCGGATTTGAATAAGGAATAATGAACTGGTTCCCTATTCCTTATTCGATTTTTTTCAAAATAATTTATGCAGATTCTTTTTGCAATGATTTGAATGAGGTATAAATTTTATTTTAAATAAATACTAATTCTGTTGTTCCTTATTTAGATTTGAATAAGGAATCAGGAACTAGTTCCCTATTCCTTATTCGAAAAAGGAATAAGGAACTGATTCGTTATTCCTTATTCGAAAAAGGAATAAGGAATAAGGAATAGGGAACTAACTTTATGTACATAGAAACATAATGCTCAAAATGGATAAAATATTTAAAACAACTGTTTCTATGAACCTAGGACAAAATAATATGTTGCACGACTGAAATTACTCTGGTGCATTATTGTTATTTTTATATTTAACCAATGATGCTTCAGACACTAACTTACTGACGGTTTATGTATTATGCTTGCAAAAAATAACAGAGTACCGTCCGCTGTTGATAAGCAGTTATACACTTTTGTTAATATATATTATGCGTCATCAAATATTTTGGTAACATTAAAACAAGTATGTTATAAAGCAAATCAGAATTTAAACAAAAAATATATTTTTCAAACTATTTGATGATTTTCATTATTACAATGAAAGAACAAAACGAATAACATTCCTGATGGTTTATATAACTATTTAAAGTAAATACATATTTATACGGATAACAAGTTGATATGACCAGAAAAGTTTTAATTTTTGCTATTTCGTTCATACTTCTTGTGATTTTCTACAATTGTCTTGTTTTCGTTGTTGTTTTATTAATTTGTAAATAAATTGATTGACGGAATGAAAAACACGTACTCAAAACATTTTGGATTAATGAATGTATTACCCGTCATAGCCTGTTGTTACTCATTAATAGTCAGTGACATTACCATTAGATCTTTCATTGTCGTTCAGTTTCAAGTTGATATCTAACATCGCTTCAAATCTTGGAAATGGCCGCTTTGAATCTTTGAAATTTGGAGCGAAATTCAGGATTGTTGTTGACTTGCACCGACAGCTTCTACCAATTCTTGCACATCTCATATTTCGTCCACTTTGTGCGCATTGTCCCATTTTGTTCTTGAATGGTGGTGTGTCCCTACATGTTCTTCCGTAGCGTTTACATTTCTGACCTTGGCTTTGTATAACAACTATAAATGCTACCATCAATGCGACTATTATAATTTTCATTTTTGTTGACATTTATCTGTTGGCCTGAAATAACAGCAAGCAAAGTTACTTGTAATATTTGTATTAATAGTTATAATTATATTAATTTCAAAGTTTGTATGATTTTAACAAATCTTTGATGGATACAATCTACATCCTTCAGATCAATGAATGATGCGTGATATCAATGATAGCATTGTCTTTAACACAATGCGTTTTGTTTACCTCTTTATTCACTGACCTAAGTCCTTTTTACATCATTTACATCATTAAAATCAGAGATTTAAGTCATACATTACATTTAAAGGCAATAATTTATATAAGAATCATTTGAAGGTATGACACTACTAAATGATTCAATAGACATGGATAGCAGGGCTATGTACTAAAACACTGAAATTGGCATTGACTCTGTTTTTAAACGTGGTTATATAATGCATTTTTATCTGTTTAGATAACAGAATCAATATATTATCTATTTTAATAATTTATTTACTAGAAATCATGACATGTTCTGCATTGTTTTGCAAAACAAAGTACAATATGGAAATAAAAAAGCTTACACTCACCCTAATGTTATCCTGTCGAAATCAACGAGGTTAATTATTGCGGTATTTGTTCTTAATTTAAGAACAATATATCGTATCTAAAAGTGTAATTCGATTATTAGAAAAGCCTAAATAACACTATTTTCCAGACACAATCAACGATGAAGTGATGGAGTTAAAAAACAACGTTTTCTTATTAACATGTTTACAGTAAAAGGGGAAATAATTATGCAAATCATTTTAGCAATTATTTTAGCCTAATTAACAATGGAATGTAGTGAGCTTTGATGTGTGTAATTATGTTGTAAATTATGTGTTGATAGGCACCAACTATGCAGAGTATTTTGTACTAAGAATATATCAACAAGGTAAATGTGTAAAAAAAAATCCAATACTTTGCATTACTCCTTTCCAGATGTGAACCCGTCTGTTTAAAAAAGAGAGCTGAAAGCAACACTTTTAGGAGTTATGTCCCTTTAAAGCGTGTAATATTTATAACAATCGGTTAAAAAATTGCCTTTTACAGGCCAGCGTTAACACCGCATGCGGTGCTCTTGTTTTAAATTTGTCCTAAATAGCGGGATGACCTTTGTATTGGAGTGCGCATATGGTATAGATTTATAGGATGATTTTTTTTATATTTGTTGTCGTTCCTAAAGGCGAAAGTGATTCAAAATAAGTTCGCAACTGTATTGTGATTTAGAAATAAGAAAGGGTACTTTTGACGTTGCTAAAGCCTGTTATAGAATGCGGCAGTTCCATTGTTTTTAACTTGTTTTCCTCTTAATAAAGAACCGCTAGACAAAGTTTATAGAAATTTTCATGTAATTATCAACCAAGTTGACTGGCCGGAAAATGTTCATATACAGGAAAGTAAGAAGATTTGAATTTCCCGATTTTATGATTTGATAAAGACCGCCTTTATGGACAAAAATGGCTCGTGGCCAGCATCAATCGACTGATGAACTTCAAGCTGAAGACTAACCTGATTGTTAAAGCTGTGTATGACAGACATAGAAAGCCGGTATTTTAAACTTGTAGCAATCGGGGTGTTGTTGAGCTTGCTGTAATAACGAATTCAGTGTAATTAAAAATTAAAACCGGTGATACTTTTTTAATAAAATCATGTGTGTCTGATATTAATACTGTTTGTTATCGTCAATCTACTTTATTGATTCTACTTATATTATGAGAGATGGCCCATACATTTACATTTAAATTGAATTTTGAATGTTAAAGATGTGACTTTTCTAGAGGATTGAATGCTTAAATAAATGAATTGTTTTATAGGTGTTACCCATCAAATATTTTCCAAACTTTCTTCAAAGCGAATTATCCACCTTTTCATTGAAATTTTCTGCAGAGCACAGGACGTTATTTAAAACGTTAATATCAAAAATATGAAAATTTATCCAGAGATATATAAGATATTTCATTACCAACCATTCGCTTACCATACAGTTATCCGACCTTATAATGTGTAACCGCTAAATTTCCTCTCATTACCTCACCTGACGTTTGAGACAAAAGATACAGGATAGCATGTTGAACAGCGTGATTTGTTTTATTTTTTCATAAATGGTCTCTTGCTTTAGAGAAAGCAATGAAATAACAAATATAATAACATTATGCACATATTTATTTCTCGTACGATTATTGCACATGACAATATTCTTACAATTTATTTTTGTTGCGTCGATGCATTTTTGCTCTGATGAAAATAAAAATGGGGGTTTAAACCATTGTTCTTAATAGTTTTTAGTTTAATTTACATGTTATATTAGAAAGCCAACCTTTCGTTTTACAAATACGATGAATATTGACATGTACCAATCATGTGCAATTAGATTAATGAGTTAAATACATATATCGTAAGAATTGAAGCCGTTTTAAATTACTAGGAAGGTTCTGCAAAAAATAACATCAAAAACACCAAAATTTAATAGTGAGAAAAATAAAATGTACACTGGATTTGACGGGAAATAAAATAAAACACAACATCTCCCACGCTTACTTACTGTAGAAAAAGCAGAGATCATATCATATTTTGATCGTTTACAGTGCAAAAAAAACAACAAACAAATTATAACTCTTTTATCAAGACATCCATTAACTTCTAAAGGCAGCAAAAATGTCATATAACGTGTTTCTGAAAGTTTTTCTTTTTAATAATCTGTATAATTGTCTTCATCTTCGACATGATTGTTTATTTTCAAATCAATATTCAATTCCGCTTCAAGTCCCGGATACTTTGGTGCAAAATTCAAAATGATTGTCGACTTGCAGCGACAGGCTCGACCAATTCTAGCACAATTTTTACTAATTCCACTACGAGCACAGCGTCCTTTTCCGTTTCTAAACGGCGGAGTGTCCCTACATGATCTACCATACAATCTGCACATTTGACATAGAATCCCATCCATCATTGCAATTGTTATTAACAAGAAAATAACGAAATGTGTCCTTGAAGACTTCATTTTGTCGATCAAAGTATATTTCCGCTTTAATGTCTCCTAAAGGAAAAATTAAGAAAAAATAAGAAAAATACGAAAAGCTTTAATTGTTCCTTTAAAGCTAAAATGGGTATGTACATGCATTGAGTTGCATTTAATGATGCAAAGGTGTATATCATAAATGGTAAATTAGTTGTTGATATTCATCAATTGGTTCGGTTCTTGTTTATAGATAGTTTATTAAATACAAAAGACACTAACATTGAGCTTTTGTACAATATCTGTACTTCGAAATTATATATTTGTAATAATACATCGATTAGTTAATTGTAGAGATTAGAGAACAGAAAACTTACTAGGTGTTGGTTAATCCAGATGCCGTCTGAATATGCGTAGATTATAAAAATAACTACAAATTATCATAAACACATATCCGTATATCAATTATCAACCAGCAAATCTCCTAATTATCATAATATTCAGTAGAAAATTTGCCTTTATGTAATAACAAAAGACTTTTGATCGTGACGCATTCACAGAGAGAGAAACTGAAAAACTGGAAATGACATATTTGAATATTACAACATACTTAAATTATCTTGTCCATAAATATAATATTTTTTTTAATTATTTAACCTTAGTATCCGGAAATATATATTTTTGTTTCATCTAGAAAAAAAAACAAGTGCATATTTGTGGTAATTATTGTGTTGCCTTATGAAATATATATCTGTCTCACGCAATGTATTTGTTTTATGCTATCGCCAATATCTTATCTATTTAAATACATTTTTTTTTCGTTCATATTTAGTTGAAGGACAATATTGCAATAATACAAAAAGATATCATGTTAGTTTCCTTCTATTTGTGACAGTTTTCTTCAACCAATTTAGGTAGAAACGCCTCAGTAGCTACAGTTGCTAAGCATGCTTGCACATTTCAGACCCGTCCGTATAATTCCAACGGCAGTTGCAAACACATATTTATTCTATAATATTGTCAGTAGTTGAGAAATGTTAATTAGGGGTAGTTACTTTTGCTGTAATGCATTTAATTTCACATAACTCTTTCATGTTTCCATAGAAACAAACAATGCTAAATATCGAACAGAATGTGTATTTGCATAAGCTAGACGGTTCTCACGGACACAAAGCCATGTTTGTCAATATTGTTTTTTTTTTATCCGGCGTTTCTTACATAACACTGAATGAGGAGGCAGCAAATAGACATCTATAACCTTAATAGCCTGGATTTAAATACGTATGTACCACACCTTTTTAATTTCAATTTTAATTATTCTTATTTGAGATTGTATACATTATCAGCGAAATTTTAGTCGACGCTTTACATCATCGTTTAAGCAATTTCAAATATACAACTTTGAATTGTATAGTTATGTAAATCAAGAGTGTTGTAATAAATCATTTTGCGACATGCGATACAATTCAATTATTGAATGGATTTATTTGTCTTCACTGGTATATTCAATCAATGGCAATTAATACAAAAGTGTAAATTTGGTCGTCTTTCAGATAAAACTTTTGAAAGAGAATACAGATCTAGAAGGCCGGCCAGGAAATTTATCAACATGCATTCCTGTACAATCGTTTTGTTTGTTATTTGCATAATTGCTTCAACCCTTGTCGCAGATAGTGAAGGTCAATTGTGTATAAAGACTGCGCGTGGATGTAGAGATACAAGACCATTCATTGGAAATAAAGGAAGGTGTGAAAGAAGTAGGCCTAATATGAAATGTGCTAGAATTGGCCAAACCTGCAGGTGCAAGTCATCTATAATTCTAAACGCACCCTCTCCATTTCATGAGAAAAAAACAAATGATGGACTAGAAGCCACACTGGATGTTTCCCTTTCCATTAATCGCCCCAGAAATGAAAATCAGGAGAGCAATTCGGAAACCAGCGATGGAGAATACAGTAATTCCATGAACAACTTAACTGAATATTGATTGCTGAAAAATAACAGAAACGATAAAGATTTAAACTGTTACAAATTAAATATAATTAATATTGGTATTTCTATGCATTGTTTGAATAACAAATCAGCAAATCACAACATATAAACTTTTAAAGTATTGCTACGTTATTCTTTTTTTTTACCTCATCTGGCCAAATATTGCACAAGAAAGCTTTTATTTTTGATGTTTTAATGAGTTTGCATCGAAGACAGCCATATATTACCCAAAAGTGCATATTGCGATTATAGATTCAGACCGCAATACCTTGAGCTTACTTTGAAACGCAGTATTCTCTAATTGATAAAATTGCCTCGCCTTAGGGATTAATTTATTTATCAAAGGGTTTTCTTCAAACCATGGCTCACAAGTCAATATTATTAAGATCCGCTTAAGTGAATTGTTTTACTTAACTTAACTGTTTTTCCATCGATACAATATCAGATCTAACAGTTAAGCACTTGTTCAGATTCAATCAATGACCATCATTAAGAATTTTTGATATGTTAGTTATGGTGCCATTATTCTTACAACAGTTTAGTTAAGTTTAGATATATTTAGTTTACTAATGTTTTAATCAGTCACTCACTCAGTCACACAGAAATTCAGTCCCTCACTCAAGTTAGAATACGAAATAAAAAATTGCATTAATTGTTGATAAAATGGTTTGAAAATTGACTCAAAGCATGTTGCTTATAACAGAGTGTTTCAGTGAAAATGTAACATCTAAATAATATAGCTTTTACTATTTATCACTTAAAATTTCTCATAGAAAGTACTAACCATACATATTAGAACAAATTTAATTGATGGGCGATAGAAATAGACTTTATACGGACATATAACAACGTAAAACGAAACAAATATATACCAATAACTTGATTGAACAGGTAATGAGTCATTTTAAACAATGCATGGTACTGCATAGGTAAGAAGTCTATCTGAAAAAGCTACGGACATTGCGAAAAATGCTATTTTTTACTTAAATGTCCGGTTTCCTATTTGTGTACTGCATTCTGTTATGTATACTCATGAAAATTATTATTTCGTGTCTGTCACCGGATATATTTAACCACATGATAACACAAAACTACCAATTTTAAATTTAATTTCTGCTACGTAATACGCGTGACTTTGCAAAATTGGACATATTCATTGATGTTATATAAACTTAACTGTAAATCAGCCTTTCATTCGTGTACATTAAATGAACTGACAAAGAATAATCATTCGTATGTATCCTTTAAGAATTTGGAATAGCAAATTGTAAGTATTTTTAAACGAATGTCTGTCTTACAAATTTATAGTGGGGGATGAACTTATATATATTTGACAGAAGCTTACTGTTGTGATAATTTTGAAACAGTATTTTTATTCAATTTGAGTCGATATTTTCTTTCTGTCAAGAAACCCATGTCGATTACCAAGGAGTTTCTAAGATAATTAACAAAAGTAAAATTCTAGTACGTTTCCACTTACATGTCTTTAATAACTATAATATGTTGAATACTAGTAACTGTATCTGAATATTTATTGATTTTCAGATTCATTTGTGTGTGCTTTTAACAAATTAAACTAAACTTTACATTGCTTTAGTAATATGTGATCTTTACTCATTAGGTAAAATAGACCAGAAGCCAGGGGAAAAAAGAACAAATAGTTGTTGTTTCATAATGCAGATATTTCTGATTTGTGTGATTCTCCACTATCTAGTTGTGTTTTCTACAATAAGAGATGCAAGAAGTCAATTTTGCACAAAAAGAGGGAATAGATGTTTAGATACAATTGTGAAAGGCCAAGGTCGATGCGCTAGGAGAAGTAGGGATAGGGAATGTGCAAGAATTGGAAGCACTTGCAAATGTCAGCTGTGACGACTTTTATCCATTATACGCGACGACTTTTATCCCGTATAAGACGTTGACATATCAAGGATGTAAAGACACGACAACAAAGGAATCATATTCACATTTTTCAGAAACATTATGCTTGAAAATGTAACATCAGATCAGTTTATAAGAACAGTTAAATACAATGAGGTTTATATATTTAGAGTGAACGCATTGGTAGTGCTTATGTCCAGGTATATTGTAAATATTACACATATGCCAAGAGAACAGTGTTTATAAATTTAAAAAATCCCCTCTGCTAGTAATGCGTGTCTTAGTGCTTTACAACGATTCTCTATTTTGTTGTATATTGATTCTTTTTGGAGACGTGGCATGTATTGTTTAGAGATGAAAAATAGTGCCGTTTAATTTACAATTATATAAGAAGTATTATAAAAAAACATTGTCTGTTAGTTTACTTTATACCATTGGAATTACAAACCAAGACCTTTTTTCATTGATACTCTATACGTGTATTTAAATTATAAAAATGTTTAGTTAATTGTTAGGGTGTTCATGACAGAGTTACGACGAGTGTTTTGGCTTACTGTTGTTTCTAAGCGAAAGTTTTCAAACTCTATGTATATGAGTGGGCATATGTTCTAAACTGTTTATATTTTGAACTGCACATCTAGTATACTTGAGTCCCATGATACCGGTGGCTCCAGGGTACTGGTGTATTCACATATCTCGCGATATTATCGACAACGCTACCTACCAATTGTTTATTTTGACATGCTCTAGTAGTATTTGCTATTTCAAAGTTTTAAAACATTTAAATGTGTATCTGAAGAAAATATTTCACATATCCTACCTTATTTTTCATTTACTATCCTTTTCTTCCATTGCATAAATCGGTCTCTCTACAAAACACGTTTTTTACTAAAAGCAAAAACAATTGACAGGTGCTGACGTCATTCATACCTCCATTATATGTCGCTTAACCTTTTGACATCACTTTTGGCGGGGTAAAATAATCTATTGAAAGCCATTAGTGCATATAAAATAGTTTGTGAAAATTGAAAAGTCACTTTCATTCAGTCTTTTAAGGGAGTCTGTGTAAAGTGTCATACTGATATTTAATCTTCATCATATAGAAATAAAATAAATTCAATGATTTAAAAGGAGCAGCGAATCACAACAACACTTAAAATTAAGTGAAGGGAATTTTTTAATCCAGCCACGTGGTATAATATACACCTGTAATTGGGAGAAAAGGATTCTAAGACAGAGATCCCTTGGGAGTAAAAAAATATGAATTAGTAAATTATTGAAACACACGTTTTTATGTTGTTTTAAAGTTAATTTATTTTCACGTATGAATACAAGAATGCTAAAATGATATTTTTGCTATTAAAACTGCAATCGCTTTGCATATAAATAACATTTTACCAGTGCACCGGTAGCATGAAAGCTGTTTAACTACGTCATACAAAATGGTCGACCATTGTTTACATTCGTAATGAGCGAGAATTTCAGAGTAACAGAACTCTGTAATGTATTTTAAGAGGATAAAATGTTAATGAAGTTGTTTATTCCTTCCAAGTCAGTAAAATTTTATCTGTAAAACACCTCGTATAAAATTTGTACACCGGTATCGTGGAGACCCGGGCTACTGATACTTAGTGTTATTCTGACATTCGTTAACAGCGTCACCAAAGTCAACTTTATTTCGGTACATTTATCAATACTTTTTACTTTTAGTCAAACAAAGTACTTATTTTTAACTTTTACTTTATTGTTTTGAACGCTTTACAATACAGCAAATTAATTAGATGTGTGAAGTTGGCGGCCTGGCGGCCTGGCGGCCTGGCGGCGTGAAGTTGGCGGCCTGGCGGCCTAACGGCCTGGCGGCGTGAAGTTGGCGGCCTAGCGGCCTGGCGGCCTAGCGGCGTGAAGTTGGCGGCCTAGCGGCCTGGCGGCCTGGCGGCCAAAAATTTTAATGTTCTAGAAATGTTTTTTTAACAATAAAACGGCATTTAATGAAGTTTTAAAGATAATTATTGTTATTTAAACGATATATCTAAAGAAAAAATCACTTTCAGAGATTTTTTTAATTTTGTCATTTTTGTGAAGTTGGCGGCCTAGCGGCCTGGCGGCCTAGCAGCCAAAAATTTTAATGTTGTAAAAATGTTTTTTTTAACAATAAAACGGCATTTAATGAAGTTTTAAAGATAATTATTGTTATTTAAACGATATATATCTAAAGAAAAAATCACTTTCAGAGATTTTTTTAATTTTGTCATTTTTGTGAAGTTGGCGGCCTAGCGGCCTGGCGGCCTAGCAGCCAAAAATTTTAATGTTGTAAAAATGTTTTTTTAACAATAAAACGGCATTTAATGAAGTTTTAAAGATAATTATTGTTATTTAAACGATATATCTAAAGAAAAAAATCACTTTCAGAGATTTTTTTAAGTTTGTCATTTTTGTGAAGTTGGCGGCCTAGCGGCCTGGCGGCCTAGCAGCCAAAAATTTTAATGTTGTAAAAATGTTTTTTTAACAATAAAACGGCATTTAATGAAGTTTTAAAGATAATTATTGTTATTTAAACGATATATCTAAAGAAAAGATCACTTTCAGAGATTTTTTTAATTTTGTCATTTTTGTGAAGTTGGCGGCCTAGCGGCCTGGCGGCCTAGCAGCCAAACATTTTAATGTTGTAAAAATGTTTTTTTAACAATAAAACGGCATTTAATGAAGTTTTAAAGATAATTATTGTTATTTAAACGATATATCTAAAGAAAAAATCACTTTCAGAGATTTTTTTAATTTTGTCATTTTTGTGAAGTTGGCGGCCTAGCGGCCTGGCGGCCTAGCAGCCAAAAATTTTAATGTTGTAAAAATGTTTTTTTAACAATAAAACGGCATTTAATGAAGTTTTAAAGATAATTATTGTTATTTAAACGATATATCTAAAGAAAAAAATCACTTTCAGAGATTTTTTTAAGTTTGTCATTTTTGTGAAGTTGGCGGCCTAGCGGCCTGGCGGCCTAGCAGCCAAAAATTTTAATGTTGTAAAAATGTTTTTTTAACAATAAAACGGCATTTAATGAAGTTTTAAAGATAATTATTGTTATTTAAACGATATATCTAAAGAAAAAATCACTTTCAGAGATTTTTTTAAGTTTGTCATTTTTGTGAAGTTGGCGGCCCAGCGGCCCGGCGGCCTGGCGGCCAAAAATGATTTTTTAACAATAAAACACATATGCGTTATTTCATACTTGTTCGTGTTTTTGATAATATCGATCAGCCGAACAGGACATAAGAGTGACAGACTGGATCGCAGGTGTACAATTTCTGTAACACATATGAATTGTCCTTTATGAAGTTTTAAAACATTTTTTCTGGTCCCATCCAATTTATTATCTCCGTTCAATCCATGAGTATAAGTCATCCTTTACTGACTTTACAAAATAACTTTTGCTTACACATTTATTGACAATAACTCATGATTACAGATGGGGCTAAATTCGGGTGAAAAATGTATTGAATGTTTCCATGTTGTCATTTTAACGCTATTTTTTGTTTAAGTTCAAAACGTTAACTTGTAATTTTTAAACATTGATTTGTTTTAACATTTGTATATGTTGTATGTTGCTTGTAAAAGTATGTAGTTGTTTACATTATTATCATGAATCACATGTTTGTCAATATATCGTTTTGTTATTGCTGTACTTTAACACTTCATTCTTATGGTGTTGTATATATGGATATTCCCAGAATAAATGTACAGTACCTTTGCTTTGTAAGGTTTTGCTCCCATTTTCCATCTGCATCGCATAATTGTTATACCTCAACACCGCATAAATTATGGTAAAAAAATACATTTTGTTACAATGGTGCCAATATTTGGAATATAATCTTATTTTATAACGGTCATATTATTCTTTAAAATCTTTTGAAATAAAATAAAAAACATAACGTGTACACGAAATAAATATCTTTATAACCATATCATTATGTTATAATACTAAATTATGCATGTATATAATAAATAAAGTATTGTTATGGCGAGTGGTTAGCGCGTCGAAATAGTCAACTATGTATCGCTCACCGTGTGGGCACAAACCAAGACAGGGGCAAGCCGTTATTTCTTGAGCAAGAAACTAAACACTAAATGGACAAAGGCTACCAGGTCACGAAACAACGGAACTACTATGGCGAGAGGTCGAAAGTACGATGACGATGATACGATATTATGCAGAGTTTTCAACATCGTGGTTTCATTTGTTTTTGTTGTTGTTTTTTTTTTTTATCTTTTTTTTCTTCTTTATTTGTTCGACTTTTAACCATCATAAATTCGTTTTAACGCTGTTTCGCGTTAACTATATGTGTGTCGTGATGGCTGTAATGGGACATCGTGGAGATCCCTCAAGAGCAATATTCCAAAGCAAATATATATAGTTGACACTTGCAGTCTCTATTTTCTTTTGAGTCTATTATTGAGAGATAATAAAATATATTATACCTCATTTGCATACGGTCTTCTATATTCAATATGACGTCATCCGGTCCAAAAACCGCATACAGACCGGGGGCGGTCCATAATTCTTACAAGTAAAATGGTTTCCTGCGGGGAACATTTTAAATGATATAAGATATTTCATTTAACTATTTTCAACATTGTTTGGGGGACAACATATAGTCGATCAATATAGAAGAAGGTCATTGGAAACTGGTGACCGTTGATGACCGGAGAAGGTCGAACATAAAACAATTATTTCTTTTTAAGAAAATGATTCAATAGGCCTACCATTTTATGAATAATTCCGAACAAAAAAATAAGTAAACACACAGAAAATTTACGCAGAAAATATCTCTATTTATTATGGCATATGCCACTATGATCGAATATTTCAATTAGTATGTATCTCAAATTTTACAGACAATAAATTGTTTATATTAAAGAAACATTGATAATTTTCAAACACATTATTCAAGTTTTTCAACCTTAAACGGTAAAATATTTAAACAAAATTACAAATATCACGTAACAGTTATTTTGTTGTAATTAGATGTAATTCTGCCTAATTCCCCAGAGGTAAATCCGTCACGAACCGGCAAACGGTATTTAGCCAGGTTTTCGAAAGTTCAATTAACCAATCATGTAAGGTTTACATATCCCGTGCTCCTCCATGTACCGAAAACAGGTCACGTGCTCCTCCATGCCTCAAAAGTTAAACGCGTACCACCTGCGGTCTCCAGACCGCAGGTTAAACGAAGCTTTCACGACGTGCGAATTTCACGACGACACAAACAGACGATAACTGTCAAAATGGATAGGCGATTTGTCTCTTTATCTGAGACATAAATGTACTACATGTTGATCAAAAGTCATGATTTTTCTTTAATTTAGTTAAAAATTTTATTTATACTGTTTCTGAAATTCTTAAAGTCCGGGTTATTTTGCCTAGTAA